TTTTATCCCTTTTATTCCGATTGTGTTGCTGATGATGCTTTTATTTTTCCAAACTTGTTTCGCATCCTCATATCTATGAAGATAAATCAGTTTCAAAAGTAGCGTACACGATTTGTATGTGTACAATAAGAGCCACAAGTTTTATAAATGCATGCTGCAAGACTCCTAAATGCATAAACAGTTTTTCAAATGTACACATTTCAATTTACACAAGATAACGGATTACGGGTCAGCTTGCCTGTGATACACACACACACACACTTATTTTTTATTATTTATTTTAATCTATGCAAATAGCTGCGTAATGTGAAATTGGCAACGTTGTAATAGTTTATAATAGCATTCTAATAAAACAATTAGGAACCCTTTATATTTACAAACCGGATTCCAAAAAAGTTGGGACACTAAACAAATTGTGAACAAAAACTGAATGCAATGATGTGGAGGTGCCAACATCTAATATTTTATTCAAAATAGAACACAAATCACAGATCAAAAGTTTAAACTGAGAGAATGTATCATTTTAAGGGAAAAATATGTTGTTTCCTAATTTCATGGCGTCAACAAATCCCAAAAAAAGTTGAGACAAGTCCATTTTTACCACTGTGTGGCATCCCCCCTTCTTCTTACAACACTCAACAGACGTCTGGGGACAGAGGAGACCAGTTTCTCAAGTTTAGAAATAGGAATGCTCTCCCATTCATGTCTAATACAGGCCTCTAACTTTTCAATCGTCTTGGGCATTCTTTGTCACACCTTCCTCTTTATGATGCGCCAAATGTTCTCTATAGGTGAAAGATCTGGACTGCAGGCTGGACATTTCAGTACCCGGATCCTTCTCCACGTAGCCATGATGTTGTGATTGCTGCAGAATGTGGTCTGACATCATCATGTTGAAAAATAGTTCTCTGCATTAATGGTGCCTTTCCAGACATGCAAGCTGCCCATGCCACAAGCGCTCATGCAACCCCATACCATCAGTGATGCAGGCTTCTGAACGGAGCGTTGATAACAACTTGGGCTATCCTTGTCCTCTCTGGTCCGGATGACATGGCGTCCCAGTGTTCCATAAAGAACTTCAAATCGTGACTCATCTGACCACAGAACAGTCTTCCATTTTGCCACACTCCATTTTTAATGACCCCTGGCCCAGTGCAAACGTCTGAGCTTGTGGAGCTTGCTTAGAAATGGCTTCCTCTTTGCACTGTAGAGTTTCAGCTGGCAACGGCGGATGGCACGGTGGATTGTGTTCACTGACAATGCTTTCTGGAAGTATTCCTGAGCCCATTCTGTTATTTCCTTGACAGTGGCATTCCTGTTTGAGGTGCAGTGACGTTTAAGGGCCCGGAGTTCATGAGCATCCAGTAGAGTTTTACGGCCTTGACCCTTACACACAGCTATTGTTCCAGGTTCTCTGAATCTTTTGATGAGGTTATGCACGGTTGATGATGATAACTTAAGTCTTTGCTATTTTACGCTGGGTAACACCATTCTGGTATTGCTGCACCATCTTTCTGCGCAACAATGGTGGAATTGGTGATCCTCTTACCATCTTGGCTTCTGAGAGACACTGACACTCTGAAAAGCTCTTTTTATACCAAATCATGTTGTCAATTGACTTAATTAGTGTCAAATGGTCTTCCAGCGGGCAGCACGGTGGCGCAACTGGCAGAGCCACTGCGTCTCAGCGAACAGGTCCCTGGTTCAAATCCCAGTCCGAGGGCCGTTCTGCGTGGAGTTTGCATATTCTCTCCGTGCATGCGTGGGTTTTCTCCGGGCACTCGAGTTTCCTCCCACAGACCAAAAACATGCATGTTAGGCTGATTGGTAACTCTAAAATTGTCCCTAGGCGTGAGTGAGAGAGTGAATGGTTGTCTTGTTTGTCTCTATGTGGCCCTGTGATGGACTGAGACCTGTCCAGGGTGTCCCCCACACAGTGATTGCTGGACATGGGCACCAGCGACCCCCGTGACCCAAAAAGTAAGAAGTGGATAAAAGATAATGGATGGATGGATGGATGGATGGATGGATGGATGGATGGATGGATGGATGGATGGATGGATGGATGGATGGATGGGATGTTTTAAGATGGCAGCAATATGACAGACTAGCCTTTACCACGTCAATTTGAAGTGAATTGGAGCTACAGCTAACTTTTTTCCTATTGATGGTAAACTGAATGAAAAGCTTATAAAACAGCATTCTAATGCTAGAAAATTGTTCAAATTTGAGATTAAAAATAAATAAATAAAATAAAAGCAATCCACATTTGTCCCAGGCTAATGGTTAGCTTGCCACTTGGATCACAAACCATTTCTATAAACTGCTACAACAGGTAAGATATTCATTGTTGTTTTTCACAGAACCGATTTAACCACCACTTTTAATGTCCAAAAACAAGATTATGGAAGTGAATTTTGTTTTGATTCATTTCAGAGACTAAAATTTTATTTACCACCATTAAAAAAATTTTTTTTTAAAAAGTTATAATGGTAAAGCTGCAACATGGATCAATCATGTCACAATAAATGACATCAAACTTTGTTTTACCTCCAGATTAAGGGGTAAACAGGCTCAGATGCGTTTTATTTGGGGGATTACACACAGGCTGCTAATTTGACACCCACTGAAGCAGGCAGGATTTACTTTTCCTTCCTCCCCTCCAGAAATGTCGCTCCGTGCTGCATCGCAGGAGACCTCGGGGTTTAAGACACCCGGCGTGAAATTGTCCCCGAAACTACCGGCGACATCCAGAGCTCAAAATCCGGCTCAGACCCCCTCACATGTCCGCCCCCACCCAAACACGCAGAAAAGACCCGCAAAACGTTGCGCTCATTGGGTAAACCTGCGGGGAATGATGCGTTTGAGGCGCTCGCTTAAAAAGTCTGAATTTTCCACTTCCTCTCGTGAAAAGGGGCGAGAAACTCTCTCGTTCAGCGGAGGAATAAAAGAGGTCCACCACCGGAGGATGTCGACCGGGACCCGGTACCCAGACTGCAGCCGGAGCCGTCACTCGGAACCGAACAGCGGTCTTACCTTTCCGTCTCCCTGCCGCGAGGGTTCCGCTCAGCTCGGCCGGAGGACGCCGCTGAAATGATCTCCTCCCCGGTCGAGGAGGATGAGGAGCGGCTCCGGAGGCTCACCAAGCCCCGCTCACCTCCCCGGGTCGAGCTACCATCAGGTCCGGAAGCACCGGGAGCCGAAGCCGGAGTGACATCCAAACTTACGGCGTTCACACTCTGGCGGGAGGAGGAAGAGGAGGAGGAGAGAGCCCGAAAGTGATGAAGGCTGAGAGAGAGGAGCAGCAGGAACTCTTCATCATCATCATCATCTGGACCGAACCGAGCTGCATCAACAGGGCTGCTCCGCGCGAACCCTAACTCCGAGCAGAAAAACTTCTAAAAAGACTAAAAGCAGCTGGAGAGTCCTGAAATGTTGCAGCTTCCTTCCCCGAACACCATCGAAGCCAAAGCTGCAGTCAGTGGCTCATTACAGTCACCATGGTAACCACACACCTGTGTCTGTCACTCCCTGACTGTCTTGATTGTTCGATGGAGAAAATTTCTAAAAAGGACTAAAAGCAGCTGGAAAATACAGCCCCAAACCTCCCTAATAAGTTGGTAATAATCCCTACATTATATTTAAACAACCAGTGGGTCATACGGTCACCATGGTAACCACACACCTGTGTCTGTCACTCACTGACAAGATAAAAGGTATAAAAAAAAAAAAAAAGCTAACTAGAAAAGTGCACCTCGAACAGCTGCACTGCAAAAACTACAAGTCAAATTTTGGAAGTTTCCCAAAGCATGACAAGCTGAATTTTAGTTTGTGTCGTTTTACGTAGACGATATCCAAAGTCACGTCCAGTGTTGAAGATAAGGTCAAACATACCAGGATGGGTGTGCGCATTCTGTCATTTGAGAGAAAACTTTACATAAGCATTGACACGCTGTGAAAGTGGACGAAAATCCCTACGTTTTCATGTATAATTTGTATAAAAATTGTCTTGGGAACATTAAGAATTTTGAAGGAATTAAGAATTTTTTCCAAAACCCCACCGATCTTCAATGGGTTTTTTGGTGCAGTTTGTTGCATTCTGCTTACGTTGGATTATGCTTCACTACCAAGTCACGGCCCACTACCCGACACAAAGTCACCTTAATGATGGAGAAAAAGACTATCTGCTCATTTTTACAGATGCTTAAACAATTGCAATTCATACAATAGCAGCATTATTTTATTTAGTTTCATCTAAAGAGCAAATAATGTACAAGCTCAATTTAGCAGCCAAACGATTTCCCATCCAACTCTTTTTCTTTACCTCAAACGGGATAAAACATTTAGGGATGTAATCCGGAGCTTTCAGAGCCGTTAACTCCTGTGAGCTGAAGAAGTTCTGAAAATAATTTGTTGCAGACCTTAAACGCATCAGGCATCTAATCGTTGCTAATCAGGCCACCTCTGTGAGTCGGCTTAAAGTTTTACAGCTCCTCAAATAAACCCAAAAGTATTTTAAAGGATCAGCACAACATCGCCTGGTATTTCATTCTGCATAAATGTTCCTGAACACTTTCCTTGTTTACTTATGTATTTTGATATTTAGTAGAATGGAAGCCTGACTAATGGATCTGTAAATTCCTTTTATTACGCGGGCTGTTCATGCTAATGCATGTTTTCTTTTTTCGTTTAATGCCAACCCTGTATTGTGTTTATTCTGGTAATTAAGTCCACATTGGATTCATTCATATAACATCACGGCGCCTAAACATCTTCATTAAACACACATATAAAAAAAATTAAAAATCATGAGTATTTTATTTACATTTCATAATTCAAGCCACTCAGAGTTCTACGACATTAAAAAGGAAGTGTATATACATTAAAAAAAAAAAAAAAGCTTGAAAAGATTTGAGCGACAAGGAGACATATGTACAAGTTTGGTTTTAAAAAGTCTTTAAGGTGAGCGTGTCTGTTTTCCTCTGCGGTGAGTTGATCTTCTACCTGTGTTGAGCGTCGCCTGCAGTCACCTGCCGGCTGACGTTACTCTGAACGAAGTCTTTCAGGCCGTCGAAGCCCTGATTGAACAGGTACTCCAGGTACCAGCTCCACGGCTTCGAGTCCTGAAACACACGCGGTCGAACCGAAGACGTTGCTTAATCTGTGACGCTCGGGCTTCGAACTACATCGGAAGTTTATAATGAGTGTAAAAATGAAACGGTGGCCTTACGTACCTTTAAGGAACTGAGGTTGATGTTCTTTCTGCTCGGCCAACACTGATAAAAACAGGACAGAAAGGTCACAAGGTCATTGCAAAACTTTTTTTAAAGAGTTGTTTGATACTAAACACTGAAATCTGTTAGAGACTCCTATTAATAATGAAGTATCAGTCTGTAATGCATCATCTTTGATAGATACATTTATACTACCGTGTTTTCTGGCTATAAGTCACATTTATTTGCATAGATTTGTCAGTCCTGTAACTTTTACGCCGAAGCGACTTATATACGTTTTTTTTTTTCCATATTCATAACGCAATTTTTGACTGACGCTTTAAATTTCGAAGAACTGCAACAGCAAGTCCTCCCATGTGCGATGGATGGATGGATGGATGGATGGATGGATGGATGGATGGCGCCGCACCACCCAGGCAAAATGAAGCAGTTTTGACCATTAAATAAATGTATAATAAATGCAACTTATATGTTTATTTCCTCTTCGTGATGCGTTTTTTGACTGATGCAACTTATACTCTGGAGCGACTTATACGCCGGAAAATACGGTAATTGGTTGAACTTGTGGTTCTATTAGGCAAACTGTAGAGAGAGGCTGAATGCTGATCAATCAAATTATAAAAAATAAATAACAATAAATCAATAAAATAAGACTGGTTTTGTTCAACAGCTGTAAAGAACTCACCTTCTGATGAAAGTCCAGAGCGTAGCTCATGAAGGCGGGGTGGTGGATGAGGTCGAAGCTGGTCCAGTACTGCGGGACTTCGCTGTTGAGGAGCAGCTCCTCTCCCAGCTGAATGTCCGAACCCGGAAAAAACATCCTGGAGTTCCACAGGCAGTTGACCATGAAGACGACGCAGTGGTTGAAGTCCTGGAAAGTCTGTCGGCTGATGTGGAAGGCCTGCTGGAGAAGAGGCGGAATGAAGAAAAACTTAGTAAATAAAAACAAAAAGTCCAGCTGAGCCACTCAGATCCAAAGTTTGTCGAATAATTCACGTGTTATTTACAGAGTACATTTTTTTTTCTTTCCTAATCAAATGAACTGGCGGCATTTTCAGGGAAGCTTACGGACTGCCTGAGAAGTAAAACTACTTAAAAAATCAGGGCTGTGGTAAAATAAACATTTGAATTCTCATCTGAGAGGAAATTATAGTTATCAGATTGATGCAGAGGCTTCAAGATTCCTAAAACGCTGCATCTAAAACGACCACGGCAGTCAGTTAAAAGATATATTTTCTAAGTGGCTGATGGGTTTGAATGCAAATGAATCATTTTCAAACATGAACTCTCATCTCTCCTTACCTCCTTCTGTTTCTCTTGACTCTTGGCTGATGTCAAGTTCACTTTGTACCTGGACAAAACAAAAGAAACGATTCGCTTATCATAAAGAACTAAAAGTGTTCGTTCGACGGAGTCTAAGAAAATGTCTGGCAATTAAATACAATTTGTCTTTTTAAAACGCATTTACACATAAATTTGCTTAAAAACCCCAAGAGTGTTGTCAATCAACAACCAATATACAATATTTTATTACAGACTAGAGTTAAAAATGACGCTTTCTTTCCCACATTAAGAACTAGAAGAGAGCTTTGATTTGTGTCCTTAAAGCCTCTCGGCGAAATAAATCAAACATCAGCACGTAAACACGTTGGATTCACAAAATCCACATGATGTGACACATTTACTGCGAGCCAAAGGACTAAGAAGTCTCGACCTGTGCATGATGTAGGCCAGTCTGTCCACGCTGACTGGGTCTGTGGCAAAGAAAGCTGGGTAAAAAACTCCAGGAGGAGGCATGATCACGAGGGGAAGGCCAAACTTCAGAAAAGTGTCACACACCTGAAACGGGAGGAAAGAATTCAGTCAAAACACACACACAGAATGTAAACACAACACAGCTGATGTGTGGCAGGGATTAAACCATTTTTGGTCAAACTGAACTAAACTAAGCACGTTTTCAGATTCCTGTTTTTTAAACCATGTTTTGATACAGAGGTCATCCTGATATGAGCAGCTCAAAAGACATTTGTCTTTGTTATTGGAATAACCCCTGGGAAATTGGTCTGAATCCTCCTTTTAGTCTATTGAGGATTTTGTGAAAATGTTTGAACGGGGAAACCTCAAACCACGTGTGAAAATCAAGGTTCCCCAGCAGGCATTGAAAATACTGTAGCTTCACTAGCACGCAGCAAAAGCATCAAACATTTAGGGCTATTCTGATCAAAATCACCATTAGTTCACTGGAAAAGGGCTTGAATGGATTCTTTAGCGTTATATTTTATAGATTTCATTCAAGGAACCCATAAAAATGTATTTATTCATCATATTTTGACAAAATCCAATTATTGCGAGATTTTCAGCTAATGCAGTGAGGCTGGATCAATCTCACTACACTGCCTTGGTTTGACGCTACGAGTGACACGCGTGGCCCGTGTTGGCAAAATGTGTCAGAATGAGCACAGGCTGCTGCGAAAAAAAAAAAAAAAAAAACTTAATTTTTGCCGTAATTGTAATTTGTGTACAAAACAAGTCCAATTGAAAAAATAAAAATAAAAAATCCAGCGAGCCCAGTAACTCAAAAATCATATAATGTTCCTGATTAACTTCATCTAACAGGCATGTGTTCAGAAATATACCTTTGTCCTATTACTCATAATTTCCTTTAAACTAACCTTTTGTTTTTTGTTACCTGCTGACGTAGCACTGGGAAATCCCTTCATATAATGTTTGCCATCACTGTGAAGCTTTGGGACAATAAGGTTTGAAGTCCTGATGACATTCCTCCAGTCCAGACCAGTAAAATCAAGTTTTCAAACCAGCACGCTCAGAAACTATGGTAACTAACTCGCTGGTGAACTACAAATCCTCATGAAGCTACTGAGATGGAAACTGGTAATTGGAAAATCTTAGTAACTCACTACTGATAAACGTTGTAACTCATTTTGCAGCACATATCATATCTAAGGTTATTAGGGCATTTTAAAAACTGTTTACTGTGGAAAATATTGCATAGAATACTCTAAATGATTACATGTTTGACTTAAAACAAAATCAAATCAAATAAATGTGTTTTATGACATTAGGAGTGAAAAGCAAACGAAGGCAACATCTTAAAACGAATCACATCTTTGTTTACTTTGTTGCTACATTTATTATCTGTTCTCACATGACCCAGTGTTTCAGTAAACGACTAGTTTTATTTCTGTACAAATCTAAGATCACCGCATTTGTAAATTTAGAGGAGCAGTGAAATTTGCCAAGTCAAATTCAGTGAACACAATCTTTTTTTTTAACATTAGATGGCTAGTTATTACAAAAGCAAAAACAATTACACTCGTCAGCACTTTATCTATGATTTACACACCTCAAACCCTGAAAACATCCCTTAAAAAGTCAAGACGTTTCCAGAATTAAAGGATTTGTAAAAACCCTGCAGATATGTGCTGAGGACTTCTTGGGCCCTCTGGGTTTTTAAAAGTCTAATGTGTTGGACTAAACCAGGCTGAGGTGTTCTGTTTAAGCCACCGGAATGATCCTTCTGTTCCTAACGTGTGTAATCAGCGAGCAAAAGAAGCCCTGAAGAGTCTTTCTTCTCATTTAAGCTTCAGTCTGACATGAAACGATAAGAGCTGTTGCCGAGCAACAAGCAAAAACCACAAAACCTTCATGTTTTCAGGACACTTCATCCCATCCTCCTTACGTCAGCAATAGTCCTGTTGGAAACTGTATGCTTTAAGATCAACAAGCTGCACGTAAATGTACGGTTCTGTAAAATATCTGGTTACATTTGTGTGAAGAGAGAATCTTTAAATAAAGTTTGAGCTGAACCCGACAAGACAACGTGGTTAGCAGCTTCGGCTCGCTTACAGTTTCATAGAAATCCAGGATGAAGCTGAGGAGGAGGGTGTGGCAGCCTTCCAGCTGAAGGCTCAGCGACGCCAACCGACCCACGAAGTGAATCAGCTCCATCACAGAGTCCTTGAACCCCGACAAAGTCATGTTTCTGGGAAAGAGAGAGCACACCGTCACACACGCACCCACAAAGTAATGACAAAACAACCTCAGGACTTATTATAAGCTCAGGCCTCAGCGCAAAATAAGTGAAAATATCTAATTTTGTATAAAACAAATCCATAAAGACACCATGTAACAATCCCAGTAACTAAAAAAAAAAAGGCAGAAAATCTTCCTAATCTAACTTCAAATTGAAGTTTTCTAACAGGCATGTCTTCAGAAATATTCCTTTGTCCTAGAACTTTATTTAAAATTTACAGTTTTTCTCTGCCGGCTGCCTTAGCAATGGGAAATCCCTTCGTATAATGTGAAGTTTGGGAATGCCACGTTTTATTTATAGCGCTGCAAATTCTGATATTAACCTGATTTCTCATAAACGGAACTAGCTTGTTGTTAGCCAGGAGATAAATCACCAAATTTCAACAAACTACACATCATTTTAAGGTTTCTGAGATGAAATGTTTAATTTCAAACCAGCGTTTGAAAAGTTGTGGGCAACATACGGCTCGAGGGCCAAAACTGGCCCTTGGACAGTCTCCATCTGGACCTGAATATCCTTAGTTGAAAATAAAACAACTTTTACACGAGTGGATGAAAACCTGCGTTTTATCAGTGACGCTTAAGGAATTCTAATCAAAAACCTTTGGGTTAAGATAGGCCTAAACTTTTTTAATTTGTTGTGTTTCCAGATCTCGACTAAACCTTAAAGATTTAAAAAGCAAATATATTTTTAAAAATTATTTAACATATTTAAACTTACAAATATATTGTTGCAGGAGCCAGTATACAAAAAGTACGTCTTATATTCCTGGGGAGACGTATTTTTAATCAACCACGCTATGCTACATCAATAAAAAGCCTGAAAAGGTCTTGATTTACAGTATTTTACTGGTACTATTACCAGTACTATGTGACTCCTGGTTGCATGATCTCAATAGGCATTGTGGGTAAAATTTAACGGTATGTTAATTTTTAAATAATTTCGGCTACATAGGTGTTTAGCCCTGTTCTGTCCAGTGATTACTGGTAGTATGCTACTCTTAGATAGTTTGTGTTCATTCTGTAGGTTGAATGGTTATTGATCTAGTAGATTACCGGTAACCATGAGTCAGAGAGCGAAGCGACATGAAGTCTATAAAACAATCTGGATGTGCGCTGAGAGCGAAGTCTGAAACGCCATCTGGTGGTTGACTCCTGTACTGCAACGAGGGCTGCACATACTACCAGGAGCTGTGTACTGTCTGATATTGAATTGTGGACATGTGTGGATTAAACAGCTTGTCTTATTTATGTACAAAATTGTGTTTTATTTTAAATTTAGTTGAAGAAAATGTATTTTTCAATTACTTGACCCTCTGGAAAAATATGTTACTCTGTAATCATTGATTTATTCAGAAATTACAGTGAAGGTAGGTTTTTTTTGTGTGTATGTGTGAAAATTGGTGAGTTAAATACTTTTATTCCTTCAAAATAATGGCCCTGAATGTCACTCTTTAATTTGGTAGGTGAAAAATCATTGACCTCATTATTTTAGGTATCTGGGTTTTACGTTTAGAAAAGGAGTAAGGTCTGGAAACAGGTGTTTCCCTTCATTTTATTCTATGCATTTCAAGATGTGGCAAACACACAAAAGCCAATTTTCCAGACTGTAGGAGCCCTGCTTTCATTTCTACTTCCTGTTTCTGCTCAGGTTATAAAAGAAAGCAGGGGGTGAAACTCACACGGACGTGTGGCTGTTAAGACTGATGTCCAGGTCGTCCTCCAGAGCGTACACCGAATGCCACGTCAGCCACTTCAGCAGCATATTGTTTAAACACTCGATCAGCCCACACTGCAGACATGGAGGAAAAGCACAGAGCTAACAGCAGTTCAAACAGCTGAGCTATAATGAGAGCTTCATAAACACAAGACACACACTGCTGCTTGTTTTTGGATTAAATTAGAAACGTTTAGTCACCAGGAAGAAGACGTCGCCAACTTAATTTGATGCTTCAAGGTGGAAAACCTACCTTGAAAAAGAGCGAGGATGTGAAGAAAAGCTGCGTGAGGGGCTCAAACAGAAGTTTTCTGATTTCTGAACAGGAGATAAAAAAAGGTCATTGTTCCTGCTCTGAAATTCAGTTAAACACAACTTTTATTAAACGAGTCAGTAAAATAACATCAAATGTATAAGTTCAAGGTAAACAAAGACCCTAATGACCCTCAGGAGGGAGGAGAGGGAGATTAATCTGCATGAGAGTTTAGCTTATATAAAGCGGAGCATTAATGCCAGTAGCTCCACACTCTCCAGGTTTGACCTGACAAAGCTCTCCGGAGGTCCAGTTGCTTTCTTTGACAACTTCTAGGGTTTGCTGTGCCTCAGATGATCGAGTATTTACCCCAGCAAACAGCTACAGATGTGTTTTGATACCTGTATGCAACCTGACAGAAAACATGCAAATGCCCATGTCTAAAACCCTGACTGATCAATATTACTGAATAAAAACAAATATTTCCTAATATCTTCATTTCTAAAGTGTATTCCAGAAGAGTAAGGCATAAACTTGTGGACGGCTGCCGTGTGTTGTGGGTGGAAGTGGGCAACCAAATAACGCAGACGGCCTAAAACCTGTGAGAGCCGTTCACACAAAAATAAGGCAAGGCAGTCCCAGGCTAGAGAAGTTACATGCCATATTTTCCACCATATAAGTCGCTCCTTTTTGCATAAATTTGCGAGTCCTGCGACTTATACACTGAAGCGACTAATATATGTGTTTCCCCCCCCCCCCCATATTTATAACTGAATTTTTGGCTGAGATCTGATGATTTCATTCATTCTGACATGGAAAATATTGAACACTAACATTTTCAGCTGCTAGAGGGCCCTTGAGTCATATGGCAAGCCAAGTGTCTCATTAATAGGTAAAAGTGGCGAAATGCAGCTGATTTGACCATTAAAGTGCATTTATTATGGAAAAGTTCAACTGAGACACGTCTTAGCTATAATTTTGAGCAAACAAATAATTGTTTTTCGTGTTAATCTTGTTAAAGTCCTCCCGTGCACGCTCCCTCGGCCGCCATTTGGCAGCCAATCGATTTTTGGCACAACACCGGCCCACATTTCCAGGTGGTCAGCGGTGATACATAATAGATGCAACTTATGCGACGCATTTATGTTTTTTTCCTCTTTAGACATATTTGCACTGATGCGACTTGTACGGTGGTGCAATGTGTACGGCGGAAAGTACGGTAATCCCTCCAATGAGTTTTGGTTCTGCTCTGCCGTCTAATCAGATGTCTTAACCACCTCAAACAGATGAGAAGGAGCAGCGGCTCTACTCTGACCTCCCCACCCTACCTCTACAGCTGAGCCCAACCACACAAAATGATTACGTCATTATAAAAAGTTAGTGGTTGAATAAGTTATGATCCAAACATGACACCAACATGCCTTCAACTAGTGGATGTTTGAAGGTGACTCAGGAACATACTTCACACAAAGAAACTAGACAATTAAAAAAAGATGATCTGAGGAGGTCAAACTAACGTGAGCTTGGAACGACAGGGATGTTGCTCAGAAGGCCGAGGATCTGCGGACGCAGCAGAGAGCCATCCCAAACGTTGAGGAACTTGTAGAGAAAAGTATCAGAACTGGAAAACCCCTCCTGTTGGGGTGGAGAGAAAAAAAAAGTGAAACAAACTGTTGACTTTGGCTTCAGCTTTAAGCACACAGCAGGAGGCAGCTGAACATGTGGCTCACCTGGAGGAAGTGCTGAGCAGACAGCAACCTGTTCAAAAACTGGAGCGCCTCCTCTGAAGTCTGGGTGGCCTCTCCATCACTGCAGAACAAAAACTCTGAAAATAAAAAAGACATTTAGTGGATAAAATAGTCAAAGAAATAAAAAAGATGAGATTTAGCAACACTCAGTGAGACCCCTACAGTTTTTTTTAACTCCCTCCCTAAAGAACCTCTTTCAGGGAACGACATAAGCAGTTTCCATTTGTCCGAGATGACTCACTTTGGTCTCAGACGACCAGATCTCACCTTGAGGTTGTCCGGTGGACACCCAAGAGAAAGACACCATATACTGTGTACTTTTACTGTGGTCATGTACATGTACACCATATACTGTGTACTTTTACTATGTCATGTACATGTACATCATATACTGTGTACTTTTACTATGGTCATGTACATGTACATCATATACTGTGTACTTTTACTGTGGTCATGTACATC